GGGGTATCACGAACAATCACAGTACAATAGATTTCTATCGCGGGTGATCACAGTGCTATCACGAATGGTCACACATCGCCCTAAAAAGCTATCACGTTTGGTCACTCGTTGAAACGATCGATAGAAAGTTGAAACTACTCAAGTCACTGTAGGGATTCAAGGAAAGTTCTCTCGCTCACGCCGTTTTGTCCGTAGTGTTACGGAATAGTTTTGCGACAACTCTCGTGAACTCGTTAAAAATATCTGCAATTGCTTGTTCCTATTCGATTGTCCACTGTTCGATTGATGCGTAATGTCTCTAAGAATATCACTTTTAGACGGGTGAAACTCGAAGGTTAATTTCTGTTCCCAAGACAAAAAAAAAACTAAAACCCATTCGGATGGGATTTAATTCGGGATGCATCAACCCTAAACGCATTGTCGCATGGTGTGTAGGGTTGATGCCTCCCGAAGGACGTGCCATCATTTAGGGGTTAATTTTTTTCTTCAGTCCCCAAAATGTCAGGCTAGAATCATGCGAGAGGTAACAAGCAATCAAGATTGGGATTCCCCAAAATCTCTACAGTTTTTTTTTTGTGGTTTCAAATTAATTATGATCGTTTCATCGAGTGACTAAACGTGATAGCTTTTCGGGGCGAGGTGTGACCATCCGTGATAGCACTGTGATCACCCGCGATAGAAATCTACTGTACTGTGACTGTTCGTGATACCCCTGTGACCAAACGTATTAAAACGGGCAAAATTGTGACTGCCTGTATAATTTCCCCATTGTTTTCAAACGATCTTTTGCGTTTTTGTTGGTGCTTATGAACAGCTGCTTGTCATTCTCTCACATGCAACAGAATCCTGAAATACGCCAAAATATCACCGCCAACAGCATCAATGAACGTCACTGCTTGGAGATTGGGGGTTGGAGAGGGGTTTCGCCATTTACACTAATTGTAAACCGAAAACAAACCCAAAAAACAAATTAGTTTGTATAGCTTTTACTACATGCGGCATTTCCCAAAATTACGACTCCCAAAATTCTGCACAAACTTATTTTCAGCCAGTTCCCATACCGCCTTCGTGTAAGACAAGCCGATGCTGAAACCTTTCTTGCCCGCAACAGCTGGACCCACATGCAATTGAGGCTCCGTGTGGTTGACAGCAATTCCACACACTTGCCCTAAACCGTGTTTTTTACCCCCTGAACCAGAACTACAGTTCGTCGAATCAAAGAATTCCTTCAGGGAAAATTGTTTAATGGGTTTTCGTTGTACAACCAGATCAGGTGTGTACACTTGTGTCAAGATAAAAAAAATGTCAACCACCAACGGACTCACCAGCCACAGGCAGGATGCTGTTCCCTCACTCCCGTGTCTGTTCCTCATGTACGCCAGCTTTCCCTCCAACTGAAGCAACTCTCTGTTTCCTCAACAGTTTGATGTTCCGTCGGTCGGGTCGGGACGGGGAGGGCATTGTGCAGCAGGGGGCACTTGCTCGAACTGTAGTGTCAAAGCGTTGACATTGACAACAAGCAGTTGTTCCTTGCCACTCCCGCTGCTGCATCATGGTGGTCTGATGGGGCAACTATGCTGTGTCACGCGTGACACGGCTTTCACGCGTTATTCTGCCGCACTAATCTCTACTTCCAGAAATAGCATCGCATAGCATTCCGTACTGTGCGAGGATCGACGCGTCAGCTGATTTCAGGATGTCAAATCAGGAAATTCAGGATGCTGCGATGATCGTTGTGATCTCCCGATCGCATGATTTAACCTAGGGTTTACAAGTGAATCTTTATCTCAGCCAAAGCATCGTCGAACACTACTTTTCCCCATGACTACCGCCCGCGCACTACATGGCCTTCAACTGGGATGTTTTGCATGATGGCGGTGACTTTCTGTGTGCTTTTTGGTAGAAAAACCTCCGGGCGCCAGAAATTTGCGTTGCCTTTTCCGGAAAGTTTCCGCACCGCGTTCCGCGGCTCACCTGAGTGAGCCACCCGCACTGGCAGTGCGGCCGCACTAGGCCCCAAGCCCGTGTCGGCCACGATCGCCTCGGGAGTCAGCCTGACCCACGGCGACGATCCAGGCTGTTTTGACTCGAATCTGCGCGATCTTCTGTGGCGACTCGCGGTTTTATCTGACTCGGAGTCAAATTACTACCGCGCGAAGATGATTCACACGCCGCCGCCGCCGCCGCCGCGTCACGCCGCTGGCGGCGCTGGCGCTGGCGCCACTGCTGGCTCTCCAGCGGCTAGTGCTGGTTGGATCATGCTCAAACCTGAGCCCCAGTCGGACTCCAACGGAAGGACCATGATGGAGGCCGCGGCGCAATCATCTCACGCCGCCGCCGCATTGCAGCAGCAGCAGCCGCTGGAACAGCAGCAGCGCGAGTACTGCGAGGACGTAGAGGACAAAGCGACTATGAAATTTCAGCACCTGCTATCACCGCCACCAAAGCAGGAATCACAGCACCATGGTGCCTTGGCGCATGAGCTGGCACCCATATCACGGCATTTGCAAATGGGCGAAGGATTTGATGGAGATTTGCCACGTCAGCAGCAGCAGCAGCAGCAGCAGCAGCAGCAGCAGCAGCAGCAGCAGCAGCAGCAGCAGCAGCAGCAGGCATCTGAGCTGCATCAGCATCAACACCGTGAAGCCGATGGATTCAAATGGAAGAAGACGTCGCACAAACGAATAGCGGGTCAGCCTGTGAAAAGGTAAGCGCGCGCGAGCAGTGGGTCAGCGTGAAGAGGTATGCAGAAGCGGCGAATATCGAGTCAGCCTGTGAAGAGGTATGCACAAGCGACAACGGGGCAGCAGTGAAGGAGGTACTCGCAAGCGGCGATTCGCGGATCAGCCTGTGAATAGTAGGTACGAAGTAGCCGTTCTTTCGCACACGCCATCGCACGGAGAGTAGCAAGACTGGCAGAAGATATTTCTGAATGCATGAGCAAGAGAGATCACTGTATGCAGGCGCAGAGACCTGAATGCGGGGCATCAGGGCGTGCATGGTGCAAGTCATAGGCCGTTACAGCCGTGCGCACAGGTGAACTGCTCGGCTCTGCTCGGCTCGGCTGGGCTCGTCTTGGCTCCGCTCGGCTAGGTTCTGCTTGGCACACTACTGCACTGGTCTCCACTGGTCGGCACTTCTCGGCTCTGGTCGGCTCGGATCGGCTCTGTTCGGCACTTGTCGACTCTGGTCGGCGCTATTCGACGCTGGTCGGCTCTGTTTGGCACTTGTCGACTCTGGTCGGCAGTATTCGACTCTGGTCGGCACTATTCGACTCTGGTCGGCAGTATTCGACTCTGGTCGGCAGTATTCGACTGTGGTCGGCAGTATTCGACCGCAGTCGGCACTATAAGACTCCAGTCGGCATTATTCGACGCTGGGCGGCACGGCACTAACCAGCACCGATCGGCTCTGGTCGACTCTGATCAGCTCAGCTCTGGTCGGCGCTGATTGGCTCTGATCAGCTCTGGTCGGCTCTGGTCGGCGCTGATCGGCTCTGGTCGGCTCTGGTCGGCTCTGGTCGGCTCTGGTCGGCGCTGATTGGCTTTGATCAGCTCTGGTCGGCTCTGGTCGGCGCTGATCGGCTCTGGTCGGCTCTGGTCGGCTCTGATCAGCTCTTATTGTCTCTTGCCGTCTCTTGTCATCTCTTGTCGGTTACGGAAACGAATGTGCCGTGCTTACTTACTCCCTTCTCAACCTACATGTAACGTTTTCTCAGTCGTCTCTTGCTGTGCTGTGCGCCCCGTCTCTCCTTCCTTCTTGCAGGCTCTACTTCGTTTGCTCATCCAAGCACGTCACGGGCTGCCCGGCAAAGAAAGTTGAGGATCGAGTGGCCGGCGAGGCTCGTCACCCTCGCCGCCCAAGGCTGAAAGGCGCAGTCTCAAAGCCCACAGCCGTCTCAAGAACTGCAGCCACTGCAAAAGCTGCCGCCACTGCGAAAGGCCCCACTACAGCTAATGCTACAGCAGCTACAGTTTCTTGCAATTCTTCAGCTACAGCTAAACTGGCTTTCACAAGCAGAGAGGCTATAGCAGGACGGGCAGAAGAAGACGACTCAGGGTCGGACAGGACGGAGATGCGTGTGGTGGTGCGGGTGGCATATTTTGGCACACACAACCATCCTCCGCCTGCTCCAGTACCTCCCAAGGCGCCTGTCGCGGGGCTTCCTGCCGTCACCTGCCTTCCTACGCCAGCGGGCCCCTCTTCTGCTACAGCCTTAGCCTCTGCTACAGCCTTAGCCCCTGCGACGGCCTTAACCTCTGCTACAGTTGTAGCGCCTACCACACCCTTTGCTGCCGCTACAACCTTCACTTCCAATACAACCCTTCCTTCTGCTACAGCCTTAGCCTCTACGATAGCCTTTGCCCCTGCTACAACCTTCACGTCTGCTACAACCTTTTCTTCCGCTGCTGCCTTCTCTGCTACAGCCTGCACTTTCAGTACAAGCAGCATCCCTGCAACTACTGGCCAGTCAGGCACCGCCAACGCAGCAGCAGCTGAGCATACAGCCCTCAGGGCAACCCAGACTCCATCCCCGCCCTCCCTCTCCGCACACCTCCCCCCAACCCATGATCCTTTCTCTCCTTCCCCATCGGCACGTGCTCAAGCATTCCCTGCAGTATTTGATTCGGCCCAAGCTGTGTGCTTCCCGTTCAGCCCCCCACATGCACCGTTAAACCAGGAGCTGCAATCGCGTGAAGCTCCCGCTGCCTCATCGGGTTCTCTTGTCCCTGGGCCTCTTGCTCCTGCCACGGTGCCTCCTGCTCCTGCTACAGTTCCTGCACCTTCACTAGTGTCTCGGGCTCCAGCTACAATGTGTCCCGCTCCTGCTACAGTTCCTCCTCTTCCTGCTACAGTTCCTCCTCTTCCTGCTACAGTTTCCGCTCCTGCTATAGCGTCTCCTGCCTCTGCCACAGCGCCTTCTCCTCCTGCTACAGTTGCCTCCCATGCCCTCCATGCCCCTCTCTACCATACTCCTTTCACGTCAGGCTCGCCCAGCATCAGTCAAGCCTCCTTCCCCTCGCTCCATCACCCCCCTCCTCTTCCTCCTCCCCCCACCCGTTTCTCCACCACTCACCCGCCTTTTCTTCCTCCTCTCCCTCCTGTGCATTCGTCAGGCATCACCAACAGCAACATCAGGCATTTTTCCATGGCCCACATGCGAGCAGCAGAAGCAATAGGAAACGCCTTTGATGACAGTTCAAGGTCAGGTGTGCTGGGAGCACAGCAGCAGCAGCAGCAGCAGCAGCAGCAGCAGCAGCAGCAGGCGGTTCAGCCCCAGCTGTTCCAGCATCCCTTTCAGCAACAACAGCAGCAGCATCCACACCAGCATCAATACCAGCAGCAACAACATCAGCAACAACCGCAGCAGCAACATCAGCAGCATCAACAGCAACAGCACCAACACCAGCAGAAACAGCAGCAGCAGCAGCAACAGCAGCAGCAACAAACGCAGCACCAACAGGAACAGCAACAGCAGGAGCACCAACAGCAGCAGCAACAACAGCAGCAGCAACAGCAGCAGCAGCACCAACAGCAGCAACAGCAGCAGCTGCAGGAACAACACCACCAACAGCAGCAGCACCAGCAGCAGCACCAGCCGCAACACCACCAACAGCAGCAGCAGCAGCAGCAGCAGCAGCAGCAGCAGCAGCAGCAGCAGCAGCAGCAGCAGCAGCAGCAGCAGCAACAACAACAACAGCAGCAACCGCAGCAGTACCAACAGCAGCAACAACAGCAGCAGCAGCATCAACAGCAGCACCAACAGCAGCACCAACAGCAGCAGCACCAGCAGCAGCACCACCAACAGCAGCACCAGCAGCAGCAGCAGCAGCAGCACCAGCAACACCAGCAACAACAGGAACAGCAGCAACAACAACAGCAGCAGCACCACCAAGAGCAGCAACAACACCAAAACCAGCAGCGGTTTCAGCAGCATCCCTCCACGTCCCTTTTTTGCACCGAGCAGTTACCAGTACAGATGAACGCATGTTTAAGCATTCACACTGCGAACATTACAACTCGTTTTACTGATATGACTCCTACTGACATTACAACTCATTTTACTGATGTGACTCCTACTGACATTACAACTCAATTTACTGATGTAACTCCTCTCACTGCTGACGTCACAGCTCAGTTTCCTAACGTAACTCCTCACATTGCTGACATTACTACTCCTTTTCCTAAACCACCCGTTCGGACTGCTGACCATGGCGCCACCACTCACAGGACTGGCCTTCAACGTCTGGACGTCTCATCCATGCAGCTTGGCCACACTTTGCTATGGCCAGCTGACGGTTCTGCCATGTCAGCACAAGATCCGTTAGCCACGTCAGCCTGCAACGGTTCTGCCACATCAGCAGGGGCAGAGACTGCAGCAAATAACGTCGCCATGTCACCGGAAGGGGGCAGGCAGCAAGAGGGCAGGAAGCAAGACACGGAGTTTGGGCAGAGGATAGAACCATCAATGGTGGATGGTGGCGGCAGCAACAATGGCTGCATCGCTGGTAGCTGGGACTATACAGTGGGACTGAACACAGAACAGTATCATCTGTTTTCTGTACCCCCTATTAGCACGCTCGACAGCAGCAGGATTATGAGCATCATGAGCAGCAGCAGTAGCATGAGCACTAACAGCTGTGTCATGGAGCAATCTAATCCCTTTGCCAGTTTATGCTTAGATGCCATGCATCTAATCCCAGATGACATCAGCAAGGTGCCAGATGACATCAGCAGGGTTCCAGATGGCATGAGCAGGGTACTGGATGGCCTGAGCAGCATTTCTGAAACTCACGATCCATGTGCCATGCATATGCCTGGTGCCCATGGGTGAGACGACACAGGTTTGGTTGGTAGTGTGGTTGCAAGTGCCAGGCTTTGCTTTGAGGAATTTTGTTTCAGTATCTGTTTATTCACATATTATGGTACCGAAATTCATGTACCGAACCATGTGTTGATATACTTTCCATAAGACTCTTTACTTCTGTCCTAGCGGTTTGATCTTTGTGCCTTATTATGGGATTTGAGCAAGGCGTAGCAGTATTTGTTTACCGCGTAATCCTCCGGGTAAGAGCATGCATCAAGAAACCTTGAAAATCACGCATGGGCCTCTACCGTATGGCCCCGGATATAGGCGCCGTCCGATTAAAGGCGCCGGCGCTTCTATCTGGAGCATGGCGCTTATGGCCGGAATTCGATTATTAGCGCCCCCCCTAGAAAACCTTTACTTATTACCGTATTACCCCGGATAAAAGCGCAGGTGCGCTTATAATAAAACAGTGTTTTTTGGGGGGGTGCGCTTCTAATTGAGGTGTCTGTATAAGCGCATGCGCCTATAATAAGGGAAATTTGAAATTCACTTTTAAACATACTAAACTGAAGCCCGCAATAAGGCGAATCCACCGGACCATGCAACAAGTGGGATCGTGCATGGTTTTCAGGCAAAAACAGCAGCGATTCGGTTTCCCACCGCACAAAGTTGTCTAGAACCATCGAAAGTGACAGCAGTGACGGGATGTTGCCGTGCGGCCCAATCATAGCCGCATGCGTTGCGTGGCATCCGCATTTCTTCCGAACCCTCTCGAAGGGTGGGGAAGATTCCCTGCCAGCGCAGAGAATATGCTGCCACGCAGGCTCCTCTACGGGGGTAGGCGGGGGTTTCCTGCCTGTCATTGACGAGGACCCTGAGCCGCTAGCCCGCAGGGGTCCCCGTCTTTGCCCATTTCTGCACCCTCCTCCTCATTTTTTTCATTCAGTTTCTAGTCTAGCCCGCCTGGCTGGCAAAGCCATGGCGGAATTCTGTGGGACGCACTTCCTTTTCAAGAAGAAACCAACTCGCGCGTGGCGACTAACCGCGGACGGGTGGTATACCCATGAGCCACAAGCGCCTCCAGTGCCACCTACACCCCCTGCACCGCCTGCTCCGCCTGCTCCTCCTGCACCTCCTGCTCCTCCTGCTCCTCCAGCTCCTCCGATTCCTCCGAGTCCTGTTCCTGACACGAATTCTCACCAACGGCTCGTGCTCCAGCTGTATTTGCCAGCCACTTTCGACGAGTGGCTGTCTGAACCGGACACACCCAAGGCTAAGCGAATCGATGCTCCGCCGACTGCACCGCGGTGGGGAAATCCAGAAGCCTGCACGTGGGACGAGTCCGCTGTGGGCGCCGAAGATGACGTGGCCGCCGATAAACAACCCACATGCGACGGCGACACTGGAGGCGACGGTGGAGGCGACGGTGGAGTCGACGGTGAAGAAGGCTCCGAGGAGGATGTGTTCCCAGATCGTGAAGCAACAGACGCGGACGACGACGGTGTGGAATCTTGGTGGCGCGACGCACCACGCGAGAAGATGCCGATCCCAACGTTTCCGCCGATTAACAAAAAACGACCCCACCCCTCCTCTGAGAACCGAGATGCCCGCCCCCCCTCTCCCAGGCACAAGCCGACTCAACACAAACGGCAGCGCTACACCGCCCAGGAGAAACTAAAGTGGCTCGTTCGGCTGGAGCTTGCGGCATCGATAAGCGAGATCGCGCGGGAGTCCGGCATACACCGCAAATGCCTCACAGATTGGAAAAACCAAGCGGAGGAGCTCAAGTCGGCACACAGCGCTCGGTGTCGGCTTCATGGGCGCGGAAGGTCTTCCTGGTACAGACCCATGGAGATGAAAGTGTACGCCCAACTCCTGGACTGGCGACGCCGCGGTGTGGCAGTATCTGTCGGCCGGCTGCAAGACTGGTCAAAAGAGGTGATGAAGGTGTTGTTCCCGGACGTCAAGTGGAAGGCGAGTCAGCGCTGGACGGAGCGGTTCCGCAAGCGGGGGAATCTCACCGTGCGCATGAAAACAAAGGTGGCGCAAAAGACACAGCAGCGTAAGTGCCTTTCCGTGCACTGTCATGCTAGCGTGAAATTTTATGTTGTATCTCTGTACTTTCTTGCCTATGTATGTTTATCTGTAGCGGTGCTCATCCGCCCTTTTACCCGTCCCTCCCTCCCCGTGCGCAGACGTGGCGAAGCAGTGCAAGGAATTTTGGCAGTTTGTCCGCGACGCACGCCACGAGTACGACATCGACAATCGTTACATCATCAATGCCGACCAGACGCCTTTGTGGCTGGAGATGCCGACGACTACCACGGTGGAGCAGAAGGGCGTGAAGTCGGTGCCCATCCGCAGCGGTGGTTACCAGAAAGAGAGAGTCACTGTGATGCTGGCGTGCACGGCGACGGGCGAGAAGTTGAAGCCGTGGGTGTATTTCAAACGCAAGACCCTCCCAAAGGGTGACTTCCCGAACGGTAAGAAGCTGCTTATGCGAAATGAAAAGAAAAGAAAAAATATAATATAACCGACGCTTGCTTGTATGCAGGTGTCGTGGTCGGCGGCCAAGCTAACGGGTGGATGGAGGCCTCGGGCGTCATCGAGTGGCTCGCCTCAGGCGTGGTGCCGTTCCTGAAACCGAAGTTCGGATTGCAGAGCCGGAGCGCCATGCTGGTGCTCGACTCCTATCGTGGTCACCTGACACCCGAAGTCAAGGCGAAATTCGCGGAACTCAACATCGTGCCGGCGGTCATCCCGGCGGGATGCACGGCAGACTTGCAGCCGCTCGATGTGTCGGTCAACAAAAGCTTCAAGGCGAGTGTTCGGCAGCAGTACCAGACCTGGTTCGAGCAGGACGGCATGAACATCCTGACGCCCGCAGGTACGCAAAGTGTTCTCCCGTGACCGCTTTGTCTGCTTGTCTGCCTGCTTGTGGACTCACGTGTTTCCCACCCCCGTGTCTGTGGTGCAGGGAACATCAAGAAACCACCTCCGGAGGTGGTGCTCAAGTGGATTTCGCGGGCGTGGAAAGCTGTGCCCGCCGACCTGATTAAGAAAGCGTTCCTCACCTGCGGCATCAGCAATGCCCTTGACGGGAGTGAAGACGGACTCGTGCTGGCGCACCGGAGAGGTCAGCTGTCCCACGAGGTAGAGGTAGATGACGACGTGCAAGCAGACGGGTTCTTTGGCAACAACTCCACGGAGCCTGAGTCGGACGAGGAGTAGGCCTTAGGCTAGACTAATCTTGAAAATGGTGTGTAGGCTAGTATTCAAGTTAAATGTATTTGACACTGAAGTTGTAGTTGAAATTGTTAGCTAGAGAAGTGTAGCTTGGATGTAGGTTGTTTATAAAGTGCTAAATTTCAATAAAAATCCTTATTATACAGCAGGGGTGCGCTTATAATAAGTAACGATTTTTCAGGGGGTGCGCTTCGAATTGAGGATTGGCCATAAGCGCATTGCTCCAGATAGAAGCGCATGCGCTTAACATAGGCCTGCGGTTATATCCGGGGCTATACGGTATAAGCGCACGTACAATTTTTATTTAAAATACTGTTTAAAACGGTAACGAGTTTCGTTTTTGCAGCGAGTCTGTCAAACATATACATATGTTATAGTTTTAGGTAGGCTGTAGTGGGGTAGATACTGTGGGGTACAACCCCTTAGGTTTCCTTCTTGTACCAAAATCTCTCGATAGTCAAACACATTCCTGCCTAGTTTCTAAGATGGTACCAGAGCAGTAGGTCTTTAGGACCTAAGATTAGGGCCCACCTGTTACCGCGTTACCTCACCTACGGCCTTGCCTGCCTGCCTGCCTTGCCTGCTGCCCGCGCGCGCCTCGGCTGCACGCGCGCGTATCTTTTTTTTTAGCGCGCGCTACTGCTGCAGCCGCCTCCGCAGCCCGCTGCAGCGCCGCGCGCCGCGCTCGCAGCCTGCGCCGAGCCCGCGTCGCCCGCGCACCGCTCGCGCAGCCCGCGACGAGCCCGCGCAGCCCGCTGCCGCGCGCAGCCCGCTTAGGCCCCGCGCGCCGCGTCCGTCGCCAGTGCGGCCCGCTGCTGCCCCGCGCGCCGCGTCCGCCGCCCGCACAGCCCGCTGCTGCCCCGCGCGTCGCGTCTGCCGCCTGCGCAGCCCGCTGCTGCTCCGCTAGCTGCCTTAGGAGCGCGCGCGGCCTGC